CCCCCCACACACTCACACACATTTAGTTTTTAAAATGTTTTAAGCATTTTATTTTTCTGTCATGGTTGCTAAAAATGGAAAAATTTAAACAAAGCGTTTCTACTTTTCAATTACACATTATTTGTGTCCAGGGGAACAGAGGACACAAAATATGTGGCATGAAGAATAACATGATGCAGTCACGGTCTGTGTATGATTGTGCTTTACTTTGGTAGGACTCCAACTTTGGTATAAGCGCAATAATTAGCCTATTCTCGGCCTCAAGGCCTTCAACAACAACAGGAATTTTTAAAGAACACTCCATCAACTCCATTTAGATAATTTTGGAGATGCCTTCAAAGAGAAAAACTCCACCCCCCAAAAAAATATATTTTAAAATACTCAAATGTGAGGCATTCTGGTGAAATCATGCTCTCGTCAAAATAATGAAATCAAAGAATTTTCGGGGGCAGGTGAACCATTTTTAAAAAATTTTGTCATTTTGACTAAACACATTTTATATCTACTTAAAAAAACATTTTTGTGTGGATTTTCCTTTAAAGAAGCATTGATTAAAAGCACAAAAAGTGTACATTTTTTGGCGTTTGAAGTTTCCAAAATTTGGCAGGCATTTTCTCGCTCATTTTACTTCTGAATCAGGCGACCTTGATCTCCTTCAAGCACAAATAATTTGACTTCTATTCCTGATAGATGAGTATATTTTTCACCGAAAGCAAGACAAATGAACAAATTTTAAAATGATACTAATAACTCCACATGTCCAAATATTGACAAGCGCCTGATTCCATTGCGTTGTAACTCCAATAATCCCCCCCCCCCTTCTTGTTGATATATGTGAGGCAGCGTGGTGGAATCAGGCTCTCGTCAAAATAATCAAAGTGAAGAAACTTATATTTTTCCGCAGGTTTATGAATTTTTGTCAAATTTTTGTTTTTTGGCTCAACACCTTTCATGTCCATTAAAGAACTCATTTCTGTGTGGATTTTTCTGAAAAACGTTGATTAAAGGCACAAAAATGTAAATTTTCAGTTACCACGAATTCTTAAGCTAAGGAAATAACTAATCTTTGGCGGCAATTTTCTCACTAATTTCATCTCTGAAAACAGGTGACCTCTTCCTCCTTCTTTCGCCAATATCTCGACTTGTATTCAAGATAAATGGATATTTTTTTTCTTCCAAATAAAGACAAGTGAACAAGCTTTAAGATGACACCAATAACTCTACATGCCCACAAATTGACGAGAGCCTGATTCCACCACGCTACCTCACATATACCCCCCAGGTCTACAAGCGGCGCTGGTACATCCTCATCATCTTCGGCCTGTTCTCCATGACCCAGAACGGCGTCTGGAACACTTGGGGCCCCATCTCCACCACCAGCATCGAGGCCCTGGGCTGGGACAACAGCACCATCGCCTGGCTCAGCAACTGGGGGCCCATCTCCTTCATCATGGTCGGCCTCTTCTATCCGTGGCTGCTGCAGGTTAAAGGTCGGTCGGCCACTTGATTTTTGTTTTTTTTCTGTTGTTTTTTGTTGGTGGTGGGGGTGGTGGGGTGTTGTTGTTGTTGTTATTGTTGGTGGTGGTGGTGGTTGGGTGGTGATTTTGTTGTTGGTGGTGGTGGGGGTGGTGGTGTTGTTGTTGTTGGTGGTGGTGGTGGTGGGGTTAGTGATGTTGTTGTTGGTGGTGGTGGCCATGTTGTTGTTGTTGTTGTTGTTGTTATTGATGATGATGGTCTTGTTTTTCTCATTGTTGATTTTGCTATTGATGGTCTTGCCGTTGTTTTGGTATTGATGGTCTTGTTGTTGGTCTTATTGTTGTTGTAGTTAGTTTATCATTGCGATTGGTGAATTTCCATTATTTTCAATTCGGGATTTTTCTGAGAACTAGTAAACCTCAGAGTAGGTTGGGAGACTGTTTTTTTTTTATTTGCTGGGTATCGATACAGACACAACTAGTATTGGATTATAATAATCCAATATAAGTTGTGTCTGTTAAATATTCATTTTTTGCAAATGTAAATTTCGAAATGTTCACTTGTTTTCATAAAATGCCAGGTTGAACTCTTGCATTGCATTTTTCTGTTGTTGGTATAAGCTATGGTGTACGCCATGGTAGGAGAATATAAAATCTGCTTCATGCAGTAAAAGAGATTAGTTCTGTATAAAGTTACTGCATCGTGAATATCTCAGTCTCTCTTGAAGAATAGCAGGCGAAAGAGGTAGGGGAAGACCAAGAGCATTTTACATAAAGAGCCTGGACAGATTGGTGATGGGGGAAAGACCAAGAAGGTATCCCTTCAGATTTTTTTAGAGCTTCGGAATATAGGAATGAATAGTGAACCATGGTGGCTGATGTGTTTCAGATCTGGTAGTTCATGACGATGAAGATGACGACAGTTATATTAGATGACACTTCTGTGTGCTCTTTCCCTCAGGTCTCCGCTGGGCTGTGGTGTCCAGTGCGCTTCTGGTTGCCGCCGGCACGTCCCTGAGGGTCATAACCTCTGACCCTGAGCCCGCCACTGTGTAAGGCTAGTAATGGGTTCTCTGTCTGCCCGTCAGGATGAGTGCGTAGTCATAGACAAGACACGTGCATGCTGGTTCTCACACACACACACTAACACATTTACACACACACACGTACACACACACACACACACACACACACACACACACACACACACACAGACATACCCACCGTACACACACACACACGTACGTGCACATTCATATTCATACTCACACACTAACACAGTGGTTCTCATCATACACACACACACACTTACACACACACACACACACACACACACACACACACACACAGGTGCACACTTACACACATATGCATGCACACACACAAACATACACTTGCACTGGCTGTCAAATACACTCGCCTCCACTTTTTCTCATACCAGGGATGCCAAATGTCCGGTTTTTCTACTTTTTTCGGTTTTTTTCCATCCGTTGGAATTGCAAAGAAAAAGGGAGAGGTAAGAGAGAATATGTTTTTGTTTGCTCATTTAAAAGCTTTACAAGGTTTGGTTTAGGTGAGATGTGATGCTCTGCTCATTTTCAGTTTTTTTTTTTTCAAAAATCATTTGGCATCCCTGTCATACACATACTAAACTTATACGCACATACACAAACAACCCACGCATACGCAAATACTCACACACGCTGTGACACTTATGCTCACAGGCACACATGCTAACACTGACACACATAAATATATACTTGGGAACCAGCACACGGACAGAGTTGCACAGACACTCAAACTTACAAACACACATGCACTCAACATGTACATACACATTTTTCCTTTACTGAGCGTGGTTTTGATGTCACTTAGGACGGACGTGGAACACATCTCACATAAAAAAATTAATTGATAAATTATAATGCAACTCTTGTAAACTGAGCGAACAAACTGGAATTTTGAAACAGCTGGCCCCGTTAATAATTTTAACTGTGTTAATGGAGAGTTAAAACATTAACAATCATTTACAATCAGTCATAGTTTTAAAAAATTCTTAAAGCATTCGCTCCCTAGCTGTATTTCAGAACTGTTTGGGTTTTTTTTTTTTAACTTCATACTTGTGGTTTTTGTCTGCCTTTTGCCCGTTCAGTGAAAAAAATTTTAAAAACCTTCTCTTTTGTATCGACCAGGTTGATCCATTGTGGTCAGTTTCTCAACGGTGTGGCTGGCCCGATGGCCATGGGGGCCATCCCAGCCCTCTCATCCAGCTGGTTCCCGCCACACGAGCGGGTCACGGCCACCGCTGTCGGGGCTAGCATCGGGATGTTTGGGCTGGCCATCACGTTTGTCCTAGGTGAGAAGTTTTTGCTACCTCGTGGTGAGCTGGGGGGCAGGTTGTTAGATATTGTTTGGTGCCTCAGAAGCTGACAAATGTAAAATGTTGATTTATTTTTTTCAACGAAAGATTAGAATAGTGGGTGGTTCGGTGGATGCTCTGGTGTGGTTTGCTCCTTCTTTCCTATCAAACAAACTTCTATCATTCTTATTTCTCCTTCTATTTTTTTGTGTTTGTTACCTCTTGAAACGCCTCTATTTCTCGGCACTGATATGACCTCATTGTGTTCCTGGTGCCTTAAAACTCTTACTTGAACTAAATGTAAGTAAGATTAGAAAAAATGAAGTATACCTATTCTATTTTTCCTTATTTTATCTTATTTCTATCTTATCTTTTACCTTTTCATATTTGATTTCTTTCTTATCTTATTTTATTTCTATCTTATCTTGTTTCTATCTTATCTTATCTTATTTCTGTCTTATTTTATTTCTGTCTAATCTCATCTTATCTTACTTCAATCTTATCTTGTCTTATTTCTGTCTTATTTTATTTCTGTCTAATCTCATCTTATCTTACTTCAATCTTATCTTGTCTTACTTCTATTTCATCTTATTGGTGTCTTATCTCATCTTATCTTATCCTATTGTAATCTTATCTTATCTTATTTCTATCTTATCTTATTCCTGTCTTTTCTCATCTTGTCTTACCTTATTTCTGTCTTATCTTATCTTTTCTTATCTTATTTCAATATTTTCTTATCTTTTCTTACCTTATTTCTGTCTTATCTCATCTTATATTATCTTATTTCAATATTATCTTATCTTTTCTTACCTTATGTCTGTCTTATCTCATCTTATATTATCTTATTTCAGTCTTATCTTATTTTATTACGATTGCATCTTCTTCCTTGACTCTCCAGGACCAGAGCTAGTGAAAGGTGGACCCCCAGATAACACAACCAGCTCCATCACCACCACCTCCCCACACATGATAAGGTACCTTGTGCATCTCTGTTGGTCACTTCATTAGTCTCACAAGGAAAAGTTTGTCCTGGTCGCCTACAATGGCAGTATATGTTACAAAGGTTAGGTGCACCCACGCATACACACTACAAGACAGGGCACATGTCTCACGTGCTGCTACCCACTCAGTAAAACATTCTCTCTCTCTCTCTCTCTCTCTCTCTCTCTCTCTCTCTCTCTCTCTCTCTTTCTTTCTCTATCTCTCTCTCTCTCTGTTTCATTTGTTTGTAACACTGTGTGTTCAGTAACTTCTCTGCAGTTTGTGCGAATGAATTTCTATATCTGTCTGTTCTTGCTTTTTTGGAAATGTATCGTTTACTGCAGGTCGATAATTGAAATTCCAATGTCAGTGGGTTGCTAATGAGGAAAGTTTCACTCACACAGTCCAAACAGAAACTGTAAAAGAGCTCCAAAATAAGCAGATGTAAACACGACCTTGGGAAACTGTTGGAGACGAAAAGTTGGAAAAAAATATAGAGCAATTTACTTCTGTGCGATATACCTCCAAGTTGTGATTTCTGCACAATGTATAAAAGTGTCTGTGAATGATGAGAGGGAAGGAGGGGGATAGAGAGGGAGAAAGAGAGAGAAAGAGAGAAAAAAAGAGAAAGAGAGAAAAAAAGAGAAAGAGAGGAAAAAAAGAGAAAGAGAGAAAAAAAGAGAAAGAGAGGGGGTGAACGGAGAGAGAGAAGAATTCATGCTATTTCCTCTCATGAAATGACTGTTGTATATCAATGTGCTACTCTTTACCTCACTCAAATTCTCACTAAAGTTCAGCTCACTCTTCTGTATGTGGGTTGTTGACGGGTGCTCCTGTGTAGTTTGCCCGTTCTTTCCTATCAAACATCTATCACCCTTATCTCTCCTCCTTCTTTTTTGTATTTGTTACTCTCCTCTAACACCCCTAATCTTTGGCACTCACTTATATGACCTTATTGTGCTGCAAGTGCCGTAAAACTCTAACTAAAACTTTATAAAAAACTCTTCTGCATGTGTTTCTAGCTCATCTGGGTGCAGTCTGGATGTCTACGAACCAGCTAATGTCACAGGTGAGGAAGTCCACATGGGCAAATTTTTGCAGCCTCCTACACTTCACTTGAAAGCATAGAACAAAAATTGCGGAATTTTATTTTTAATAAGTGTTTTTTTCATCTTGTCTGTATGTTAGTTTTTAGCACCTATAACGTGGCAGCTTGCACTGTATGCTTTCCAGGAAGTTGAGATTGTTAAAAAGAATGCTATCACTTCTGCTGGAGTAATAATATAAATTGTAAAGCACATAGGGCTGGCTGTTGAGTGGGAAGTTGCACTATACAAATGCTATTTATTATTATATGAACGTAGTAAAGACTAAAGACTTTGGTTTGTTTAAGGTTCGTAATCTATCATTTTCTTGATGGCATCGTGACTGACCTTTCCCCCCCCCCACCCCCCCCCCCCCCCCCCCCCGGGCAGTGCCACTGACTGTAGTGTCTTTAGGCCATTCCCAAAGGGGGGACATTTCTCATTCAAGCACAGTAGAATTGTAAATGGGCTGATTCATGTCATGCTCATAACTGTGCCTGATCTACAATAGGGAACTGCTGCTTTTTCTTTCTTAATCCTTACTATTGTCATTTTCCTCTACTTCTTTTGTATGTTTGTCACTCTCTTCTGACTTGCTATTTCCGGGGTGACTTGATAATTGAAGCAGATCTTGTGCTGTTGAAGCTAGAGAGGTGAGCAGAATGAGTCTGATTCCCTGTAAAGACTTCTCTGTTGACACCCACCCCTTGGCGCTCATATGACCTTATGCAGCTGTGAGCGCCGTAAAACCCTCTACTATAAAAAAAAAAAAAGACAATTCCTGAAACACTTCGGCCGAATCAGCCATGTACAGCGACATCACAGGAGTTGGGACAATGCCCTGTACTATTCTTATCATCTTAATCGTCCTGAGTTTGTTAGGGGTTTTTTCCCTCTGCTTCGACTTCTGCTCTTTTTGCTGTTGATGCTTCCCCAGCATCCTTTCCCTGTCATCCTTCTTTATTTGTTGATATCTCCCGCCGCCCCGCCCTCCCCCCTCCTGCTCCTCCTCCTCCTCCTCTTTTTTAAAATATTAGGATAGTTTTTACTATCACTGTTATCATTTTAAAAAATCATTTCTATTAGAAATGGTAGTAGTTTTTAATTCAAATAATTATTATTGTAATTATTAGTATTATTATTATTTTTTTCTTATTATTTTTAATTTTTTAAAAATATTATGTTATTGCTATTATTATTGTTGTTATTATTATAATAACATTTTTTGTCTTTCTTTAATTTTTTTTTTTTTTATTTCTTATTGTTGTTATTTTTATTTTATCAAGGTATTTATTTCTTTTTTTTCTCAGATGCCCGGATTCACCGAGAGCGAGAGGACATCATGAAATACATGTATTACCGTGAGTTCTGCTGTACCAGCGGCTTCCCTTTGTTTGTCCAAATGTTGAGTGCTGACACATCTGCCGTCCCATTGTCTTCCTCACACACAAAGAAAGACCACTGCATACAGTGTTTTTATCAGGCGTGACTTGAATTCGTGACTTTTAAAGAGAATCGCGTGGATGGTCAGCAGGTGCACTGGCGTGGTGCGCTCCTTCTTTCCTATCAAACATCTGTCACCCTTATCTCCCTTCCTTCTCTTTTGTGTTTGTTACTCTCATAACACATCTAATTTTTGGCACTTAGATGACCGTAAAACTCGTACTAAAACAAGAAATTCGGGAATTCGTGTTGTTCACCAAAAAATTGAAAGGGGTGCTATTATAGTGGAGCACATAACACTTGGAAACTCAAATTGAGAATTTTTAAAATTTGCAAAATTGCTCAATAGGCCAAACGCATTTTTTAAAAATCCTCCCCCCCCCCTCCCCACACACACACACACACACACACACACACACACACACACACACACACACACACATACACACACACACACTCACACACACACACACACACACACACACACACAGTGCCCAGTGTATAGTATTGAGGACTTAAAACTTCATAGATGCTTCAAAGCGAGAAGTAGGTCACTATTCATACTCTTTGAATACCGTGCATGGATTTTTTTTGTCTTATTTACTATAAGTCCATCCCTAACTTCTGCCACTCAACACTCATGAACTATTCATTGCTCTCTGCAATGAGCGCACATGTGCTGGCTCTCACACTGTGAACTCGATGACTTCTCATCACCATTCGTTTGACTTTGAATAGAGGAGGGGAAGTTCATTGCGACAGCTTACTGCTAATTTCTTTAAAAGACATTCTCCGCTCTTCAAGAGTCGAGTGCTCTTGAGCTATTCATGGTATTACTAATGAATATTGAACAGTAGTAAATATCTTTTAGATGCATGTTTTATACATCTTGTTGGCTCGTTTTTGTTTTGGTAAGTGTTTTACGGCCCTCGCAACTGCGCAAGGTCGTATGAGCTTGCGATACACATTAAACATTTTTAGTTTGGTTGGAATTTATTTTGAATTTTGCCCAGCCTACTCTTGTCTATTTCAGACCACAGAGGGATCTTTAGCGTGCGCAATTCGCGGCTGGGGGTAGAAAGTGGAGACAAAAGTAGATGACAGAACATGGTTAGAGAGTAGGAAATGGGGTTAAAGGAGGAAAGTTTAGAGGAGAAAATTATCCCAGTTGTCAGGTTTCAAACCCGGGACCTATTGAATAAGAGACGAACACCGTAACCTCAAGACCATGAGAGCCCCCTGTTTGGACTCCACTTTCTATTTGTTGGCTCCGCTTAGCCCTTTGTCGCATTATATCAAATACAAAACTTTGCTGTATTCACCTCACTGGTTTTTAGATATATATTGGGCTCTAATTTTACCATTTTACCAGTTTTAGAAAAATGAGACTAAAATGTATTCTTTATAAAAATATCACACAGCATTTGAATGGCTCTGCCACCCTTTGATAAGCTGCGAATAGTGTAAAATTTATGAATGTTGATTAATAGAGTTGAATATGTGCTGCTGTATTTAGCTGTTGCTATTCATCACTCTTATAATCGGAGAAGCCTGGTTTGCTCCTTCTTTCCTATCAAACATCTGTCGGCCTTATCTCTCCTCCTTCCTTTTTATGTTTTGTAACACCTCTAAATTCTTGGTGGCCGGATTCGTAATCATGAGATTGGGGGTTCGGAGGTTTGAGTCTCAGCTCAGTGCAACATTGCGTCCTCGGGAAAGGCACTTTACATGAATTTCCCATTTGGCTTGGTCCTTTTGGAGGACGTTAAACTCAGAGGTCCTACCTCTTAAATAACCTTATACTTATAGTGTTGATAGGGGTGTTAAACCTATAGGCTACCATTTTTCTTAATCCTTAGCACTTTAATGACCTTATTGTATTGCAAGTGCTGTAAAATCTTTAAAACTAAAACAGGATGAGCCAGTCTGTCATTTAAAGGCTGTTCATATTGGTGATGAGTGTTGGGTCTCCTGTCCTGATGCCAAGACGGCACTTAAATGACCAAAATTGGGTCGTTAATGCCCTAAAACACTTACTCAATCAATCAATGATGCCAAGACAATGACGGGATTGTTCTGTTTTGTCTCTCCCTTCTTCTAGGGTGTGGCTCCTCTTACAGTATCTGTCCCTCCCTCTTTTTCTATCTCTCACGAATGTGGCTGATTTCAGTCTCTGTCCTACTATCTATGTCGTTCTATTCAGAATGTAGCTGGGCTGTTCACGACCTTTCTATATGTTTCTCCCTCTGTCTTTCTATCCAGAATATAGCTGGGTTGTTTATGACCTTTCTACGTGTCTTTCCCTCAAGATATTGCCTAGTTGTTCACCCTTTCTATTTTTCTCTCCTTCTGTCTTTCACTCCCGACACTGATTACCTAGTTGGTCATGTCTCTCCCTCCTTTCTTTCATTCTCAAATGTTCCTGGTTGTTCATGACTTTTCTATATTATGCCTCTCCCACTGTTTTTCTATCCTGAATATACCTGGGCTTAGACTGGGCTGTTCATGACCTTTGTATATATGTCTCTCCCTCTGTCTTTCACTCCCGACACTGATTACCTAGTTGATCTTGTCACTTCCTCTGTCTTTCACTTCAGACATTGCCTAGTTAGTTCTTCATGTCACTGTCTTTTTATTCGAAATATGCCTGATCATTCATTATCTTTGGTGGCTCTCGTGGCCTAGAGGTCAAGGTGTTCGCCTCTCATTCAAAGGTCCCGTATTCAAATCCGGGTAGCGACGGAAAAAATTTTCTTCCCTATAATTTTCTCCTTTCACCTCATTTCCTGCTCTCCAGCTATGTTCTGTCGTCTGCTTTCGTCTCTACTTTCTGCCCCCACCCCCTCACCTCCTTTGCCCCATCCTCTGGTCTCCTGACTCTTTCAACAGCCTTTCCACTGCTTCTCCTTGGTTCCTTCTTTCTTCTGTCTTTTAGCCACACCCTTGATCTTCTGGTAGGAAAGATCTACACCGAAAAATCTCGGAGGTCGCATGTGCAAGTTGCGCAGGTTAATAATCCCTTGGTGATCCAAAATCGATAAGAGTAGGCTTCGGCCACCAGGGCAAAATTCAAAATTTCCTCCCGACTGAAAATCTTAAGTGTGTCCCACGCACTCATATAACCTTATGCAGCTGCGAGCGCCATAAAACACTTACCAAAAAAACAAGACAAACAAAAACTTCATAATCTTTTTATACGTTCCTCCCTCTGTCTTTCACTCCAAAATACGCCTGAACATTCATAGCCTTTCTACACGTCCCTCCCACTGTCTTTCCCTCCAGAGTGCGGCTGGGCGTGGCTGGTTGCCCTGTGTCTGCTGTGTTACTTCCCGGCCAAGCCCCCGCGCCCGCCCTGTGCCAGCGCCAGTGTGGAGAGAGACCGCTACTGGGCCGGGCTCTGGTCACTCAGAAAGTATGTGGGTGTTATGTAACATTTATGAGGCATTGCTCTGCCAAGAGCAAAATGTTCGCAGCTAAAGGGATTTGAAAACAACAACAACAACATGTAACATTTATTATTATCATTTTCATCGTTGTATATCGATTGTCCTTTTCAAGATTCTTGCACAGGATTATAGTACAATTCTTTGGTCATGACACACCATATAGTATCGCAGCTTGTAATCTTTACTTACTTGTAAGTGTGTTGCTCGCACTCTCATACTTTGACACTCGCACACATATATGCACACACACATAGGTGTACACACACACACTCACAAACTCACACATACACACACACAAACATACACACCCTCACGCACTCACGCACATATCAAACCCCCTTCCAAAAACAACAAAAAAAAAAGGAAAACAAACCTTTTTAACACTATGTCACCAAAAAAAAACTGCTCGCATCGTCCTTCACAGTGCGCCGTGTGACTAGGTTTAGATATGTCACAACCCAGATCAGCAACACCCTCAACAATTACAATGAAATCAGCAACAATGACCTCAGCTACAATACATGCAACAACGATAAAAACAACAACAACAGCAACACCACTGCACCACCACCTGTGGCTGCATCAACTTCTGAAAAAACGAGAACAAGAGAGCAACAATGCCATTGAAAAAACACCAGCACACCTTTAATAAAACATGCATTGGCATCAGTAGAGTCGTCGATAACATTTGCATCAAACAAAAGCTGCACCAGAGTCGAAATTGACACCTATGAAGTAATTAAACTAACAGGAAACATTTTTAAAGCAGCAACAACATAATAGTGATAATAATAACAATAATAATTCTACGTCTGGTGGTGACTGATACATCTGCAAGGGAGAATATTTTATCGCCTCTGAACTATTTTGTCCAAAGTGCACTGTGGACAAAATATTTTTAAGTACACTTTGGACAAAATACTCAGTACTTAGGTACACTTTGAACAAAATACATAAGTGCACTTAAGTACACTTTAGACAAAATACTTAGGTATACTTTGGACAAAATACTTAAATACTCATTGGACAAAATACTTAGGTATACTTTGGACAAAATACTTAAATACACTTTGGGCAAAATATTTATGTACACTTTGGCCAAAATACATATGTACACTGTGGACCAAATATTTCCCAAGAGAAATAAAAGAATTAGAAGAGATTACGGTTAAGGTGACTTGTGACTACTGCTATGGTCAGCAACAAGGAAAGCATCAACAACACCATCATCAACAAAAACATTAGCTTCAACAACATCAGCAACAACGCCAACAATCAATAACATTGACAACAGTGACTTACAACTCACTAACAGCCACCTTTGGCACTTTTTGAGAAACTTGGAACAAGGCGAAAAGTGAACAATTTAAAAATAACCTCATTCTTCTAATGTCTTACTATCAAATTGTGATTTCAACATGGTGTATAAAGCAAGAGAGAGAGAGAGAGAGAGAGAGAGAGAGAGAGAGAGAGAGAGAGAATTA